CCCTCTCTGGGTCTAGAGTCCCCAGCCACAGATGGAGGCAGAGACAACATCTCTTCATGTTGTTGTCTCTGCCTCCATCTGTGGCATCACTTCTTCTCTGGGTAGGGTCCTTCACTCCATTCTTCTCCGTTGATGGTTCCAGGGACCTCTGCTCCTGGACTGCAAAGTCAATCACTCCCCTCCTTTTGCTACAGAATGTTCTAGGAACACTCTTGAACATCACCTGGATGATGTGGGAGAGTGCAGATGTGGTTGCTCCTGTCAGGGAATGTATTCTTAGCCCAGCTGTCTGCCTTGACCACTGTGTCTGCCCCTGCTGACCACCAGCAGTCAGTCACCCATAGCTGGACTGTGGATGTCTCTAATGCTTCTAGAAAAGATGTCCCTGAGACTTCAGCTCTGTGGACATATACTTTCCCTATTGATGGCCTTTTTCCTCAGGTTGGAAATATAGGCACAGTGGGGGGAACATCAAAGCAGACAACCAGAAACGGTTGCCCTCCCTGCTGCTGCACTCTGAAGAGTGGTCCAGCTCCAGTGGCTGTCAGTCAGGCACTAGATCTCTTGTTCGTCCGGCCTCTGACTTCTTTCCCCTTAGGGCCCCATCAGTCTTCCTGAGGAGAGGGGCTCAGCTGTGGGAGATTCCAGCAGCCTTGGCCATGAGCACCTGCCCCCTGCCCACAGGTGAGCTGGTCACCCACTTCCTGACCACTGACATGGACAGCTTGTCCTACCTGAAGAGGGTCTCCGCCGAGGGTCATCTGTACAATGGCTTCAACCTGATCACAGCAGATTTAAGGTGGGTCTATCTGAGTGCAAGGAAACTTAGTGGTGCGGCAGGTTAAGCATTGAGCTGCTAACCACAGGGTTGGTTGTTCAAACTCACCAGTCACTCCTTGGGAGAAAGATGAGGCTATCTGCTCCCGTAAAGATTGACGGTCTTAGAAACTACAAGGAGCAGGTCTACTCTGCCTTATAGGGTTTCTGTGAGTCTGAGTGGACTCAGTGATGGGGCGTGTACCCGAGTGTCTCCCCTGGCACACTATGCTGCAGGCCCTGCTGGTTCGATGGAGCTTGCAGGCTTTTGTTGTGAGTCTTGAGTACCATGCTGATGGGCAGGAGGTGGACTTGGATCTTATTCTGTGCCTTTGTGAGTGAGAGCTCTGTATGCCTGTATCTATCTGGTGAGGACTTCCTAGGACAGAGAAGTATGCAGTCCCCTACCTGCTCTCTGTCTCCTACCCAGTCTGGACTGGAGGAGCCCCTTCATTTTAATCTGCACTTGCCTGGTGGTACTGTGGGTTAGGCATTGGGCTGTTAACCACAAAATTGGCAGTTCAGAGCCACCAGAGAAAGATGAGGGTGTCTGCTTCCGTAAAGATTTACAGTCTCGGAAACCCTATAGAAGGTCACTATGAGTTGGAATCAACACATGGCAGTGGGATTGATTTGGTTTTGGGGTTCATTCCTCTGACTTCTTATGGGCAAGGACTACCCAAGGCTGAAGAAGGAGCTCTAGTGTACCCACAGCTGAATGTGAGGGGAAGCTCTCAAGGCTCCTGGGTACAGTGGGTGCTGCTGAGTCGGCCACTGCAGCTTCTTCAGGAAGTCCCAGAGTGGACAGCATGGCTCAGCTCCATAGGGTTGTGAGGGGATGGGTGTGCACAGTCCCGTGCCTTCTGCTGCAGGCTGACCTAGAGAACTTGGGCCAATCAGACTGGGAGTGGGCAATGCTGACTTTGGCAGCCCCACAGTAGTCTAGTGTGGTTCAGCGATGAGCTGATAGGCTATGGTGCCTGCCCAGGGTGCTTACCACTTACCAGGGATCTTGAGATCTGGGGCAGTTGAAGACTTAGAGGAAGTGAAGGCAGCCCAGGACTTAGAGGGTCTGAGAACCCAGCCATGTTAGTGGGTTGGAAAGGCAGTGGTGTCTGGAGGATTTGCTCCCCCTCTGATGAAATGGTCCCCAGTGCTGGGCACCTGAGGTGTGGATGATGGAGTGGGTAGAGCCAAGAGGGACGATGGGTGTGCTATAGGAGAGGAACCAAGGCAGGATCCCAGGCTTCCTTCAGGACTTTTGGATGCCTGGGCCAGAGTGCTTTGGTCATAGTGGCCTAGGTGAGCTTACACGTTAGAACCCTCTTCTGCAGACCTCAACATCTGGCTCAGCCACCAGCATCGGGGACACCTGCCCAGCCACCTGTGCTGGCCAGGGTGCTGGTGAGATGCCCATCTTACAGAGGCAGGACCTACTCCACCACTCCATGCTGGGTGGCCTATAAGAGTGCAGTAAGGGATGGGTGATGGTGAGTGGGCTGCCTAAAGGCCTCTTGGCAATTAGACTGGGAGGCCAGGCCAGGTAGTAGAGACCTGGAAAGGCTAAGACCAGGACAGGATACTCCCAGCACCTGTCTGGGACTGGTGGTGCCATGGTACCGAGACCTGTCACTAGAGTACAGCAGTTACTAGACTGTACAACAGTGAGGGGGCTCTTCCACCTGAAGTGGGGACCAGCTGATAAAGACAATGAGGAGGAGGGTCCCCAGGGAGAGAGCAGGAGGCCTTAGACTGAGTGTGGACATGAGACCTGGAGTCAGTTCCCTGGGTTTGGTTCCTTAGGCCCACGTGGGGTGCACACTTGTATATGAAGCACAGAGGGGCATTAACAGCCCCAGCCAGAGATTCTGTTGGTCCCAGGACCACTGTGCTTGAAGACCTGTACATGCCTGGGACCAGCATGTCTTTACAGCAACTAGGTAGTGGAGTCTTTTTGAGAGGTAGGTCACCCACCAAGGAAGCTTCAGGCTGAGGTCCTGGTGTCCCTGGAGAAAGGCTTTGCAGCCTACCACTTGCTCCTGGCTACTGTATCCCTGATGCCAGCCTGTGGCTCTACCAATGGGGTGGGTACTGTCCTGCCAGCCTGGGGTTGCTGGGAGGGAAGTCTGTCTGGAGATAGTGAGGGCTTGGACATGGGCCCAGTCCAGCACAAACATTGGCCACAGAGTCACTGGGCACCATTTGCTGAATATTGCCCACCTTTGTACCCACAACTCTGCCATTAAGCAAGAGGGCGCGACACAGGACCCACGGACGCTGTACTGTGGCTGCGTGTTTGTCTGCCAGAGCCAGCACAACACCCTAAGGCTAGACAAGTGTGGTCCCCACTTCCAGCTTTGGTGGGGGCTTGGGGAGAGGGTGCTGCTGCTTCACAGTTGAAATTTGCATGCAGAGCCTGCCCCGGTGGAGGTGCAATGCTTCTGTAGCACCTGGTGGCAGCCGCAAGGAACAGCCCTATCCTGGTGGGTACCCTTCCACTAATCTTGGGCCCTGAGTATTTCCTGGTGCTGGGGTTCTGTCAGGCCTGGGCTTTAGCCAGGAGAGTGAAGTTGGGTGTGTTGTGCTTCGATGTGATGCTTTTGTTAAAGGTTTGTCAGATAGTTTTTGCTCTGGGAGCTGCAGGGTTTTGTATATTTGTCTTCTAGCAAATATACTCCTTTGCATGGAGCCTGAAGTCTGGAACCCTGAGGACAGGAAATTTTTTTCCGTTCATTCCCTTGAACTCCACAGAAACTAGTTTGGTTTGGGGACTTCTTAATTATAACAGTGTCCCTCCATGTGGTAAGATTGACTTGTCTCCGGTGTTTGTATCATGAGGCTGCACCAGAGTAGAGACCAGGCCTATGGATGGACAGAGGCCCCGGGAAGGGGAGACCCTGTGGCTGCCTTGACCAGCCCTGATTTGTCCAGCTCCTTACCTGTGTGCAAGGCATGACGAAACATGGCACAGACTCTCTTGACAGATGCGTCCACCACTCACCCCCTCAGAGCCCAGCACAGGGGCCCCACCGGGATAGGCAGTGCATTGGTGTGGGCAGGTGCTCCAGGTGAGGTGGGCTTCTTGCCTACAAAGGCAAACCTGAGCCTCTCTCCAAGCCTGTGCTTCTGGACAGACGTGCTTCATAGCCCACCCCCAAACAAGTAGCCAAGGACAGGACTCTCCTCCGCTGGTCAGTCCCCCTTGCTGGAGACAGAGCCTCTGCTCTCTTTGTTCCCATAAGTTCTCTACCACCCTTTCCTCCTGTCACTCCAAGGATTACCCTGAGGTTGTCCCGCAGATGGGAACCAGTACCAGGCAGACTGACACTTAGCGACTACAGACATAGTGCGACTCTTCCAGGACCTGGAGTACAGTCAGGCTCCCTTGGTACAGAGTGGGCTGCTGACTGGTTATAGTTTACAAGCCTAGGCATCATCTAGGAGGCAGCTGGTGTCAGGGGGTCAGCCGGCAGCCCCGGACAGTGGTGCCAGTGAAGAAATCCAGGCCCAGGAGGGAAGAGCTTTAAGTTACAGTCAGAGCTTGGGTCAGAAGCCCCATGTATTGGCACCGGTGCCACAGGTCCACGGGCACTCACGCTTTCTGCTTGCCAACAAAGTCTGGTAAATTGTTGTTGTTATTTGTTGTTAAGCGCCGCTGCGTTGGTTTTGACTCATAGCGACCCTTAACAACAAGCATAGATTTCTGAGGCTTCAGATCTTTGAGGTAGTAGAAAGCCTCATCTTGTCCCTTTGGTGTGGCTGGCAGGCTCAAACCACAAACCTTGTGGTTCACAGTCCAGTGCTTATCATATAGCCACATGTTAACACAAATGGAACCAAGTGTGAGCTGAGGGAAAAGATGATCAAGATGTGGGCTGGGGTACAAGGTCTGGGGCTAGGACAGTGAATCCTGGCAAGTGGGCTGGTCAGCAGGAAGGAAGAGGGGCCAGAGCCAGACATGGCTGGAGGTCCTGCCAGCACAGTGTGCCTACTCCTTGTTCCACATGTGCTCATCCTAAAGGCTGACCAGTCCAGGAGGTGTCCTAGGTCACCAGGGAGAGTACTCTTCAGCCAGAAGGGAAGGAGTATCCCAAGTTTTAGCAGAAAGGCTTGGTGTGGAACTAGCACATCTTCAACTTCCTAGTATTTGAAATGATTTAAAAATACAATCTGGGGCAGAAAACACAATGAGAGTCTTTACTCAGGAGCCTCTAAAATCTCTGAGGCCAATGGATTGGAGCCCTGGGGTTGTGGGGGAGTCAGCCATGGAGACCCCAGGTGGAGAGGCTTGGGGGTACAAACACTAAATGGGAATTGAACTAGATACCTAGGGTAACTCCTGGGGTTCTATGACAGTTGCCCACACCCTGCTGGAAATCAGTACTCAATGGTCCCAAGGCCCAGCTCTCCCATGGTTTTTACCAACCCAATCATTTGGGGTCCATGCATTGGGAGCACTTGGGGAGGCAGGAGGGCCTTTTAGATGCTGCCATATCCCAGGCTGGTGGCTCCCTCTGATACCAGACAAGAGCCAATGGGTTGGATGAACTGCCTGCAAAGCCCAGGTGGCAGTGGGTGTTCCTGGCCTGGGGGACTGGACCCTGGTGAGCTTTGGCTTGGCTGCAGCTGGCCACTGCCCCTGAATGGTTGTCAGGAGGAGGACTGGTTCCTGTGTGGAGCTGAGAAGCCACATGACCCGTTTCCTCCCATTCACAGCACAACCAAGGGAGACATTGTCTGTTACTATGGAAGCCGGGGACAGCCTGAGCCCGTGGTTCTGACGCCAGGTGAGTCCCCTCCAGCACTTGGCAATAGGGTGGGGTGCTACTCTAATAATGACCTGCTACTCTAATAATGACCTCTTAGGAACTAGGCTTCCTGCTGGTTTACTGTTCTGGGCCTCTCCTTTTTGGCCATCCCTGGTGGCATAGTGGGGTAACCTCAAGCTCATTGATTTGGAACTCACCAGTCTCTCCAAGGGAATAAGATGAGGCAGTCTGCTCCTGTAAAGACAGACAGTCCTGGAACCCCAAAAGGAGTAGCCCTACTCTATCCTATAGGGTCAGAGTTGGAATCCACTTGATGGCAGTAGGTTTGGTTTGGATTTGGGTGTAGCTTCTGGCCTGTACCATCCTGTGGCCTGGCCAGTCCTGCCTCCTCAGTGACTACTTCCCTGCTTCACTCTTCTTTACCACCCACACCAAGGACTCTTCCTACAGAAGTGGGACCCAGGGGTCCCCACCTTACATCCATCTGTGGTCCCCACTTTGTTGTCTCCACCTCTTCTTGCAGCCCCACTTCAAAGAGCACTACTCACCCCCCAACTCACCGCCCAGGTTCTCCTGGAAAGGACTTAGTCCCAGGACAGCTCACTACCCTGGGCCTAGTCTGTCCCTTCTTTGGACTCTGGCCTCTGCTCCTTCTCTCTAGTGTCTACCTACACCACCCCTGGGTATCATACCCATTCCTAGACCATCTGCTCCAGCCCAGTCCCTCATCCTAGTTCCAGGACAGATGGTCTCTTCCAGGTCCTGCCTGCCCTCACCCCATACCCACCCACAAGACCTCCCTGGGATCTCAGGAAGCCAGGACACTGCCCTCACTGTTATACTTGTGCCCACGAGGCACGCTAGCAGGGTGGGTGAGCCCTTCCCCTTCTACTCTGCTCACACACAACTGGATGTCAAGGGGCCACTGTGAGCCACTTCAGGGGGCTGCGTCCTATGCTGCCATGTCCGGCTCCAGGACACAGTTGGCACTCCTGAGGAACAGCACACCAGGTTGTGAAGTTGCCAGGACACTTTCATGGGAACAGCTCAGTAGTGGTGAGGACAGTCAGAGTGGTGCAGCCATCACCATTCTCATTTTGAGAACATGTTCATTTCCCTAGAAAGAAACCCCTTTTAGCTATCACCTCCCCATAAATACCAGTACCCTCCAAACCAAAAACCAAACCCACTGCTATCAAGCTGATTCTGACTCATAGTAACCCTATGTTGTTGTTGTTATGTGCCATGGAGTTGGTTCTGACTCATAACAATCCTGTACAGGGTTTCCAAGATTGTAAATCTTTGCAGGAGCAGAAAGCCTCATCTTTCTCCTGCGGAACAGCTGGTAGTTTGGAACTGCTGACTGTGAGATTAGCAGCCTGATTCATAACTACTACGCTACCCCTTAGGGCTTCCAAGACTGTAAATCTTTGGAGAACCATACAGCCTTATCTTTTGCCCACGAAACAACTGGTGGGTTTGAACCAGCAACCTTTCAGTTAGCAGTCCAATGCACCATCTGGGCTCCTTTCCGTAGCTCTAGGTAACCACATGAAATACTTACTGATGAAAATCAAAGACCATAACCTTCGGTATGGATTGCATCTCAATATAAAGAAAACAAAAATCGTCAGCACTGGACCAATAAATAACATCATGATCAGTGGAGAAAAGATTGAAGTTGTCAAAGGCTTCATTTTGCTGGGATCAGCTATCAACACTCATGGAAGCAGCAGTCAAGAAATCAAACGATGTATTGCATCAGGCAAATCTGCTGCAACTGTCTTGAAAGTATTCAAGAGCAAAGATGTCAGTTTGAGAGCTGCGGTGTGCCTGACCCAAGTTGGACAGTGAGTAAGGAAGACCATAGAAGAATTGATGCTTTTGAGTTGTGGTGTTGGAGGAGAATATTGAAAGTGCCATGGGCTGCCCATAGAACAAACAGATCTGTGTTGCAAGAAGTACAGCCACAATGCTCCTTGGAGGCCAGGGTGGCCAAACTTTGTCTCCCATACTTCAGACATATTATCAGGCGGGACCAATCCCTGGAGAAGGATATCATGTTTGGTAAAGTGGAGGCACAGTGGCGACAGTGATGGGCTCAGACATAGCAATGACTGTAAGGTTGACCCTGGACTGGGCAGTGTTTCATTCTGTTAGGCATAGGGCCGTTATGAGTTAGTACTGACTTATGGTCCCTAACAACAACAACAGGCAACCACAGATCTATTATTTGTCTCTATGAATTTTTCTGTTCTGGATATTTCATAACTTGGAGTCATGCACTCCATGACTTTTGGCGTCTGACTAATTTTATGTAGCATAATGCCTGCAGGATATACCGTTGTTGTGTGCTGTCAAGTCGGTGCCAACTCTTAACGACCCTGTATAGGGTTTCCAAGGAGTGGCTAGTGGATCTGAACCACTGACCTTGTGGTAAGGAGTCCATTGCTTACTCTACAGTGCCACACCAGGAGGTATACCTATGTTATAGCTTGTATAAGTACATCATTTCTTTTTATTAAGTAAGAAATAAAAACTGCCATCAAGCTGATTTGAAGTCTTAGCAACACTATAGGACACAGTAGAAGAGCTCCATAAAGTTTCTGAAGCTGTGAATCTTTCCAGACGCAGACTTACTGCCTCATCTGCCTTTTGCAGAACACTTGGTTCAAATCACTAGTCTTTTTATTAGCAGTCTGAGACTTAACCCACTGTACCACCAGAGTTTCTTATTTCTTTTTATGACCAAATAATACTCCAAGGATGGCATCCAAAGGTATTACTTTGGAATATTACTAAGTCTAAATACTAAGGTGTCCCTAACCTGAGTCATGATATTTTCAACTGCCTTATATGCATGGAAAAGCTGGGCAATAAATAAGGAAGACCGAAGAAAAATTTATGCCTTTGAGTTACTGTGTTAGTGAAGGATATTAAATATACCATGCCAGAAGAATGACTAAATCTTTGTTGGAGGAAGTACAGCCAAAGTACTCCTCAGAAGGGAAGATAGTGAGACTTGATCTTCCATAGTTTTGGACATGTCATCTGGAAGGACCAGCTCCCTAAAGTAGAGGGTTAGCAAAAAGGACAAAGATCCACAATGAGATGGATTGACACAAAGCTCTAACAGTGGGCTCCAACAGAGGACCAGGCAGTGTACATAGGATGGCGCTGAGTCAGAACTGACTCAACAGAACTTAACAACAGCAGTAGTTTATTTTAGTTATTGTACTTTTGGTTATTGTAAATCTGCTATGAACTTTCATTTGTAAATTTTTGTCTGAGCATATATTTTTATTTCTCTAGGATATATACCTAAGTTAGAAATTGCTGGGTCATATGATGTGGCACTGCAGGATAATGCACTGGACCGCAGGGTCAGTTTGAACCACAAGGTCAGTGGTTTAAAACCTCCAGCCGCTCCTTGGAAACCCCACACAGAGTTGCTATGAGTCAGAATTAACTCGATGGCACTTAACAACAACAACATGGTGATAGAAATGATGCTGGATCCAGGAGCGGAGGTCCCTGGGAACATAAAGGGAGAAGAGCAGAGTGTGGGACCCTACCCAGAGAAACTGTGATGCCTGAGATGGAGGCAGAGATGATGACATGGAGAGATAGAGTGGCTGGGGACTTTAGACCCAGGGGGAGGGAGAGGGGCTGTGTGCTGATGACCAAGGGGCAGGCTTGCAGGGTATATACCCTTTGGTTGTTTGATAATGTGTGGCGGGGGTTATAATCATGGTAATGAAATGATATACGATAGGATGTATGTAAAGCTAATGTTCTCCCATGTAAACTGTCACAGAATTCACAATAAAACATTAAAAAAAAAAACAGAACAAGGGGGAAAAAATTACATGCAAGTAAAAATTCCAACCTCGGGTGCATACAGTAAGAATTCTTGCAAACTAGAATAAGAGAATGAGGATCACTGCATAGGAAAAAAATATAACAAAATAAATTCACAGCACAACGAGTTTACATGACTTAACTGTTTGACTTTTGAGCTTCGCCTGAGCTAGTTTTAAACTAAGTCCTCAGAAAGTTGTTTTGGAATGGCCAGAATTTTAAACTGTGTCTATCTCATCCTCTGGCCTGCCTAGTCAATTCAGAGGGACTTCCCCCAAACAGATCAAATGAAAATGTAGTGCTTTATTGTGGAAACAACCCAAAAGTGGGTTCCCTGAATTGGCTTTTAACTAATTTTACTGGCATGATACATATGGTCCAAGTCAAGCAAAGCAGTCTCCAAATCCATAAAACTGAATATAGGATTCAATTGACCAATCTGCCAAAATAAGCAAATCAGTGTATGCATAAAAATGAAACCTTGGAGAAAAAATTGAAAGACTTTTTGGCTACTCAAAATGCCCTTTCAGAACTTTCTCAACATAGTTGCTGCATTTGTTTGTTTTAGATTAAATGATTGAAATTAGTGTGTCTCCCCAAATTTCCCTTAACAAAGCGCATGGCAGGTGTCAACCCAGAGTAATCCTTTTCTGGTTATTTACAAAAGGTTTATTGAAAAACTGCATACAGGCAGCCCATTCCAATCTCCTTCTTGGTAAGTTATTCTGATAAAAGTATGAATTACATATCTATACTTTTATCTGTTAGAAAATTTATATGTAACAAGATAGTTTACTATGAAGTTCTATCATATGTGCTCTGGATATGTGAATTGATTCAACCAATATAATAAAATCCTTTGTGGAAAGAAAAAGAAATTATGCTGGAGATTGCCTTATAGAAAATTTTGCAAGGCCAGTGACTAATTCATTGCATGTAACTTTTAAAAAAATGTAAATGGAAATTATACATGTGGACCTCAGCAGATGGAATATTCAGAGATAAAACTGACTATATCTGTGGGAACGAACTAAGGAGAAGCTCCATATCATCAGCCAAAAGAAGGCCTGGGGCCCATTGTTGAACAGATCACCAATTGCTCATATGTAAATTCAGGAAGAAACTGAAGAAAATTAAAACAAGTCCATGAGAAACAAAATATCACCTTGAGTATATCCCACCTGAATTTAGAGACCACCTTAAGAACAGATTTGATGCATTAGACACTAATGACCTGAAGAGTTGTGGGATGAGATCAAGAACATTGTACAGGAAGAAAGCAACAGGTCATTAAAAAGACAGAAAGAAAAGACCAAAGTGAATCTCAGAAGAGACTCTGAAAGTGATTGGAAAAAGTGATGAAGTAAAAGAACTGAATCAAAAATTTCAAAGGATAGCTTGAGAAGACAAAGTCAAGTATTATAATGAAGTATGCAGAGACCTTGAGTTAGAAAACCAAACGGAAGAATACACTCAGCATTTTTCAAGCTGGAAGAACTGAAGAAAAAAATTCAAGCTTCAGGTTGCAATGTTGAAGGATTCTCTGGGCAAAATCTGCAAGGTGAGCAGTTGAAAGCCACCAACTGCTCCTTGGGAACCCTAAATTGGGTCACTACAAATTGTAATCCATTCTAATGCACATAACAGCAACAAAAGCAATAGGCAAAATACTGAATGATGCAGGAAGCATCAAAAGAAAGTGGAAGGAATACACAGAATCACTGTACCAAAAAAAAAAAAAAAAAAAAAAATTAGATGTTTGACACTTACAAAAGGTACTATATGATCAAAAACTGATGGTATGGAAGGAGGAAATCCAGGCTGCACTGAAACAACCTGTGATATGTGGATAGTATAACCTTGCTTGTTGGAAGCTAAGAGGACTTGAAATACTTACTGATGAAGATCAAAGACCACAGCTTTCAGTATGGATTGTACCTCAGTGTAAAGAACACAAAAATCCCCATAAATGGACAAATAACATTTTGTTTGGATCCACAATCAATGATCATGGAAGCGCTGCGCCACTCAAAGAATCAAATGGCAAATCTGTCACAAAAGACCTCTTTAAAGTTTTAGAGAGCAAAGGTATCCCTTTGAGGACTAAGGTAAGCCTGACCCAAGCCATGGCATTGTCAGTTACCTCATAAACATTTGTAAGTTGGACAGTGAATAAGAAAGACCACAAAAGAATTGGTGCATTTGTTTTAGAAATGGATTACCAGGCACTTTGTCCTGGTCTGGAAGCACCATTGAAATCTTCCCACCATGTGAGACCCTGCTAGTATTTAAAATACAGTGGCATCACTTCAAGCATTAGAACATCATACAAACTACCCCTGTACAATAGAATGACATACCAGAAAGATTTCAGTGTTGGGAACCCTGAGGGTATTTATTTCTACTTTGTTTCATAGTATCACTATGAGTCAGAATCAGCTCTACACCAACAGGTTTGATTTTTGTTGTTTATTTGTTTAATGTGTGTGTAGTGGTATCTCATTGTGGTTATGGTTTGTATATTCCTGATGACTGTTGATGTTGAGCATCTCCTCTTATGCTTATTGCATATTTTCTTTGGAAAACAGTCTAGTCTGATTCTTTGCTAATTTATCCCTTGTTGGGTGTATGATGATTAGTTTTATGTGTCAATTTGGCTAGGCTGTAGTACTTGATTGTTTAGTCAAATAATAATCTAGATGTTGGAGTGAAGGATTTTGTAAATGGTGTTAGCATTTACAATCATTTGATTTTAAGAACTGGAGATCACCATTGGTAATGTGGGTAGGCCTTTTCTAAGCAGTTCAAAGCCTTAAGAGCAAAAATTGAGGTTTCCTGCAGAAGAAAAAGTTTTGCCTCAAGACTGTAGCATAAAATCCTGCTGAATTTTCAGTTTACTGGTCTGTCCTACAGATTTCAGACTTGCCATCCCCTACAATCTTGTGTCAATTCCTTGTAATAAGTCTTTTATTATTATTATTCTATTAGTTCTGTTTCTCTGAAGAAAGGTTATTTATCTTTTTATTACTCAATTACAAAATTTCTTCACATATCCTAGATCTAAGTCCCTTACCAGATTTATGATTTGCCAAAAGTCTCTCCCATTGTGTGAGCTGCCCTTTCACTTTCTTTATGGTACCCCTGAAAGCACAGACATTTTAAATTTTGATGATCTCTAATTTTGTTCTTTTCCTTCTGATTTTTCATGTCCTAAGTATACGTGAAGGAGTTCTGGTAGTGTAGTGGTTACGAATCGGGCTGTGAACTGCAAGGTCAGCAGTTCGAAATTACCAGCTGTTCCGCGGGAGAAAGATGAGGCTTTCTGCTCCCATAAAGATTTACAGCCTCAGAAACCCTGTACAGGGTCGCTGTGAGTCAAAACCGACTCCATGGCACATAACAACAACAACAACAAAAACAACAACATGTATATGCGGGAGTCCTGATGTGATGCTATGGGTTAATGCACTGGACAGCAAAAATCAGTTTGATCTGCAAGGTCAGCAGTTCAAGCTCACCAGCGCTCCTCAGAAACCGTATACAGGGTTGCTATGGGTTGGAACTGACTCAATGGCAGTTAACAATGACAATTTATCTCTTTTACTTTTGTTACTTCTGATTTTTCATGTCCTATCAAAGAAACCAAGGAGCTCTGGTAGCGTAGTGGTTACGAGTCGGGCTGCTAACCTCAAGGTCAACAGTTCAAAACTACCAGCAGTTCTGTGGGAGACAGATGAGGCTTTTTGCTCCTGTAAAGATTTGCAGCCTTAGAAACCCGTACAGGATCGCTGTGAGTTGGAACCGACTCTACAGCATACTACTACCACCACCACCATCAAAGAAACCGTTACCAAATCCAAGGTCACACATTTACACTTATGATTTATTTCTTCTAAGAGTTTGACTGTTCAGCTATTACTTTTAGATGTTGATTCATTTGGAGTTCATTTGTATGTGTGGTGTGAGGTTAGGTCCTTCTTTGCATGTGTAGCCCTGGTTGCCCAGCACCTTTATTAAATAGGGTTCAGTGTCGCTCCTGAATGGAAAGGAGTCAGACACTAAGGGCTGGTGGGCTAGGCCACAGGGCACAGTATAGCCAAGGTGTACTCTGGGGAATGGGTAGAGTTATGTCCGCCGTGGCTGAGGTCTTCACCTGAAAGTCTGACAGCAGCAAAGAGGATAAGTCCTAATGTCCTCTGGGCTTATCATTCAGTGTGTATGAATCTGATCATACCCACTCCTACTTCAGGGCAGGGCTTTCTCAAGAAAATACAGCAACCGAGTCCTTTGAGAAGACACCTGACCATCTTAAGTTCATGCAAGAGAAGCCCTTCACTGTCACAACTTCTGTTAACACATGTGGGAACTTGGGCTGTGCTTCTGCTGAGACCTTGCCCATTCCCCCTGGGGGTGTTGTCCCTGATGTTCACCAATTTCCATAATTGCCCACCAGACCCACCCTAAGTAGCAGCCTTCCTGGCTTTGGGTGTCTGATTCTCACACCCTTGACCTTTCAGCTTTTTAGATGAGTGTACACCTGCAAGTTTTTCCTGCCTGTAGCGGGAAGAGGGAAGGGCAGAGATGGATGGATGGATAGATGGAATAACAACCAGATATGGGAGTGAGGTGTTGGGGGAGCGGAGAGGTTGGTCATATATTTGGTCTCCCTCTTGAGTACCCCTTTCTGTTTTGCCATGCTAAAATTCAGAATGTGTGCTCCTTACTTACCTGTCCATCAAGGATGTTATGTGCCTTCGTCTCAGTCTCCTGAGGGCACCCTGCTTGTGGACGTCCCTGTTCCTGGCTCGCCTGTGTGGCAGGAGGTACAGGCAGTGTTCTGGCCTGGTCTGGTCTGCATCTACCACTCCTGGCTGTGCCTCTGGCACTCCTCTTGCATGAGCCTGGCTGCAAACACTGAGTTGGGGGTCTTGGTCATTCACCCTGAAATCCAACACTGACCCCACTCCCCACAGGCATTTATGGACTGAGCAACTCACTGCTGGACACACCCTGGAGGAAGTTGAGCTTTGGGAAGCAGCTCTTTCAGGAGGCCGTGGAGCAGAGCCAGGCCCTGTCCAAGGACGCCCTGGTCGCTCAGCTCCTTGGCGTGCTTAACAATGAGGAAGCGTGAGTGGTTACAGGACTTGGGTGGGGTGGGTGCTGGGATTGTCGAGAGCAGTAGTGTCTGACCTAAAATTGGCCCAGCAAATGCTTCCTGGGTCTTCTGCCTGCCCTGATGGGTGTCTCAGCAAACTGGACTAGGGGTTCCCCATCCCTGGCTCCCTGGGTGTGTGGCCTTCACCAAAGTTTGCTATATCAGAGCTGTACCCCTCACCCTGCCTCCATCTACCCTCCTCATGCATTTGATCTGTGTGAAGCAGAAGGCTTCATGGGTGAAGAGAGATGGAACAGCTATGGGCTAGTCCACTGGGAAGCTCAGGGCTCGTGTAACTTTGACGTAGGCTCACTTGTGGGGCTGAGAGTAGCTGAAGGCTTCCTTCTGCATTTGAGAACTAGTGGGAGATTCCAGAGAGCTCCAATTGCTTAGCAAACTCTGGGGAGAGAGACTAACCACAGAAATAGCCAACTAACATAAAAGCCTGTCTGGGGTTTGATTGTCTCACCAGTGACCACATGACTTGGAGTCACCTGACCTTCTCACACACACACACACACACACACACACACACACAGAGAACTTCAAGGGTTGTGGAGGAGGTGCCTTCTCCTCTGGAGACTGGAGTGGGGGTTACCCTCATACTGGGTACCTGTCTTGCTCTTGAGGACTAATGATCACATCTCAGGGCACCTCAACCTCCACTGTGCCAGCTAGAGGTCAGTGTGCTCATCCAAACTGGCAATGCTGCCCTCCACATACCCCTCTACCTCCCCTTACCTAGGACAACTGGGTCAGGCTACCATCCTGCCTGGACTACCCAGCATCCACTCCCGCTTGACATAGCTCACTCCCCTGAGGAACCTCCCAAGGTGTGTGCCAAGTCCCATGGCTCCTTACAACCTGCCCTCCTATCTCCTACCCAGGGCCTATGCCTGCCCTCATGCTCACCTCCTCTTCTGTCAGACTTGCTATGCCATGTGTGTGCTTTAGCCTCCCTCTCTCCCCCCCACCCACACACATAGCACTCAGTTACCACAGGCTTCTGCAGCGTTGGGGGAGAGCAGGCAATGTTTACTGACCACTGCAGCCTCAGTGCTTACTCTGCTGCCCAGCAAACAGGCAGACTCGGAGGGCTTTGTTGAATAGATAGATGGCCACCAGGTTCTTCTCTTAGCTGGGCTTCATACCCAGAAGCTCCCACCTTCCCACCCGGGCCCCCACAGAGGAGTATGAGTGTATTACTGAGAGCTTGTTTCTTCCCTTCCCTGGGGATGGGACCCCTGGCCCTAGCAGGACAGACTGGCAGAGCTCATATCCCAGGGCTTGCTGGTCCTGGAAAAGCCATTTGCCGCAGTTCATGCCAGTGACCCAGTAAGAGTGGAAGCTGGCTGCTGGCAGCTTGGATGCCATGATGGAGTTGTAACTGAAAGCATGGACTGGAAAGTAGACAGAGCAGCCCTCAGGGTTCCCCTTAGCCCACCTTCAGAGGAGCTGACTGACAGTGACTATTCTTCTGTCCTTCCAGACAACTGCCAGACCCAGCCATCGAGGACCAGGGCAAGGAATATGTGCAACCTATTCTGAACAAGTACGCAGCTGTGTGTGTGCGCTGTCCGGACTATGGCACCAGGTATGGTCTCTAGCTCAGGCCAGAACCCCAGGCTTCAAGCAAGACAATCCAGGTTTCCTGTGGGCTGCAGCTGTCCAGGGCAGGGCCTTCCCCTGTGGGCTGGACGCAGAGCCTCTGTCGTGTCCAGAAGTGACTACCGTTTCATCTCTTGGGGTTGTAGAGGACTGTCTGCCTCAGTAGCTAGCCAGGCATGTGCAGGGTGCCCGCCAGCACAAGTGGCCATGGCCTCCTCATGTGGGGTTCTTGGTTCCCCTCAAAGAGCCAGTGCCCAGATATTGGGGGACCAGGGTGGAATAGGGACGCTCATGTTGCCAAATACCTGTGCTTGTGGAACATTGTGGTAGGCAGCTGTTCTCCTCGCTTGTCCTGAGTCCTTGAACCTGGCATATCTTCTGTGTGACAAGGCCAGGATTCGGTCAGCTCCACCTGGGGAAGCTGCCCCAGCCCAGGACAACATGAGTCACAAGGTGAGCATGTTCAGGAGGGTGCTGCTGTGGTCACAGGTGTCAGACATCGTGATGGAGGACAGGGAGGAAGGTCTTCAGAGCAGATTGTGGACGTACCCAGCACCCCCCATGTTATATGTTCAGTGGTGGCTAGGGTATGTAAGGGAAGGTAGAAGCCCAGGGCTGAGGAAAAGCAGGTGAGTACCCCTAGTGGGGTTGAAAGGGACGCTGGTTTGGTAGGCCACAAACAGCTGGTGAGATGAGAGCTCAACGTTGAGGTCCCCCTGAGGCTCTTTCTCAGCTCTGACCCTGCAGTGGTGGTTAATCTCTCATGAGGGATGAGCAGTGCTCAGGATGGGTGTGGGGGAACAGTTCTTGTGGGGAGCAGTGCCAGGGTATGGGAGTGAGGTAGAGGCAGGGAGCAGTGCCTTTTGGGGGAGTGGTGTCCAGGATGGGAGGAAGCAGTGCAGGAGGGAGACGGGGGCAAGGAGTCATCCAATGGCTAGTTCACTTGGGGAGGGGAGTGGTCAGCAGGCATCTGTGAATGCCCACAGAAGGCTGGCCAGGGAATGGCGACCTGAGGTCAGTTCCTGGGACATAGTGTCCTCGCTGAGATGGGGTGTGGCCAACCGGTAGGATGGGTCCTAGGAGATGTTAGACCTGGAGGCAGTTGGGGCTTTGGTGGTTCTCACAGGCCAGGTCGGGTGTCTTGCAGAAGAAGTACTTGTGCAAATACCATCCTTGCTGGTCCCACTGTGGGGAGCCCACAGTCTAGTAGGGGCCCACAGCCAGCATGAGTCAACAGTGACAGGTGCCATCACATGCCAACCTGATGTCACAGGCTTACTGGTTTCCAGGTTTGGATGGGATGATATTTAGCATGCAGCCCCTGGCCCTCCTCCTCCCAGCAGGCCAGAGACAGTGGATGTTACCCTACTCTGGGCCACTCTCCCCAGGGAGGCTACTTAAGGGGAGGAAGTGACATGCTCCTCAGGCTGTCTACTGACTGGGTACCATGGGGTGAGGGGGTCTAGCTTCCAGCTCAGCACCCTCAGGAGAGGAGGGGCTGCTGGAGGATAGGACCCCAGAGACAGATAAAGGAAGGGCCTGGGGACCCAGGAGACTATTAAACTGCAGGTAGAGGGCTCAGTCCTCGAGGAACAATGGCCTCCAGAGACCACCAACTGGGGAGCAGGCTACACAGGAGGAAAGGGGCAGTTTAGAAGCCCCCTGCCTCTCCAAGGCTCCTGTCTAGCACAAATGCAGAGGCCACCCAACCCCATCCCCCCAAAAAAATCTGCTCTCAGATCAGTGGTGCGGGGCCGAAGGCAGGGCAGCTGGGGCAGGCAAGCCTACTGTCTCTTTCAGAACCAACACAGTCATCCTCTTGGATGTGGAAGGCAATGTGACCTTCACAGAGCGCAGCATGCTGGACAAGGACCCCACCCGCTGGGAGACCCGCACTCATGAGTTCAGGCTACAGAGCTAACCCCACCACATCTGCACTGCACTGCCCAAGAGAGACTGGGACAGCATCCCCAAGACCAGGGTCCTCTGATGTGTGTGTTGCCTGTCTGTGTCCCTGGGCCTAACTTGGGAGTAACAGTGTACTCACCCATGCAAACACACACACATACAAGGTACACATACACCATACTCTCTCACAGTGTGCACACATGCATGTGTGCATACATACACTTCTACACAAAAGGTGCGCTCACAGACCTACACATTGACTTACATGTGCCCACAGTCACCCACGTACACTCACCCATATGAACTTACACACGTACACACACATGACACACACACACACACACACTTATACACATGCGACAGACCAGCACAGTCACCCACACAAAGACACACATATAATCACAGAACACACACGAGACATGTGCACGCATGCACACTCACGTACAAAGACACAAAGCATACATGCACACACATGCACACATTATGTTCTTACATAGACATGCTCACATGCACACATGCACACACACTCATGCACTCACAGGCACACATGTGTGCTGACAACAAGGAGGCATGTTTCTCATATCACATGTCTTTGGCCATGGACCTCTGCTTTGGTCAAGACTACAGAAGATAGCTTTTGTCTAAGGGTGGCCCTTCCTCCCAGGCACACAGGACCCATGTGTGACTCCATTTCTGACAGCCATCTCCTGCTCTAAAAGAGGCGATGGACGATGTTTGGAGTGAGGCATAAGGAAGACCCAAGAAAAGCCCAATTGCAACCACAGCACAGCTTGATTCGGTGAACCAGGAGCCCTGTGTGCTCTGGGCAGTCCTGTGTGTTCTGGTGGTACCATGTGTGCTGGGTGGTCCTGTGTATTCTGGAGGTCCCATGTGCACTGGGGTCCCATGTACATCAGGTGGATCCCATGTGTACCAGGTGCTCCTGTATGTCCTGGGTGGGTGGTCTAGTGTCAGTCCTTGTGATCTTGTGTGCCCCAGGGTCCCCCTCTAGCCTCTCACTCAGGCCTTTTCTGGTTTGAACAGGGGATGTGTTCCAAGGCAAGCTTGTCTCGGTAAGAGGACACAGCCAGCCTGTGCCATGTCCCTTCTCCTTCTTGAAGAGCCATGGCCTTCACTGTTACCTGAACTTCCTTGGAGTGGGTACTTGAACATGAAAAAGTGACAATAAAACTCTGATTGAGGTTGTGTTGAGTACATGCATTTCAAGGTCCTTCATGTGTGTGACCAGTGACAAGGCATCAGTTCTCCCATATCTGCCCTTGTTGACCTGCTGACCTGGTAGCCCCAAAGAGCCTCCTTCTATAGGCCCAGACACCATACAAGGCTCTGTTTACTCCTGAGCACTGTGGTCAGTCCATCCTTCTGCCCATCTGCCCTTGCTCATGTGTGTGGGCATGGTAAGTCACTGGTTATGGAGCAAGTCACCTAACCACCAGGGCCTCTGGTACCTGGCTGGGAACCAGAGATTTCTCTGGGTAACAGTGTGAAGCCCCTATGAGGATCTTGTGGAGGGTGGAACGTGGTAGACCAGGAGATGAGGAGGTGAAGGGAAGGGAGAATTTGAGAGCCACAGGATAAGTAGATCCTGGAATCTCTTGTTTGGGGCAGGCATTTGGGGATCCCATCCCAGTCCTGGTCAAACATAAGGAGTCTCATGTTTCCTATGTTGAGTCCCAGGTCCTTCTCCCTCTCGACAGTAGTTGAGGGTCTTCTCAGGCCATGTGAGCATGGGGTGGGGTGGGCCCTGCCCTATTGGACAAGAGGAATTGCTGATCAATCTGGGCAGGAGCATGGGACTGGACACACCTTCTCACCCTTACTCCTTCAGGTACCAGGCCACTCTTCAAGAGCCTGATACCCTCTTGGGTACTTTTTTTTTTTTTTTTTTAGATTAATGCATTTATTCCAAGTAATTAACACGTTAAAAATAAAGTTAAAATGGTCTAAGCCAATACATGAAGTATTTAATCTTTCTAACAATGTGTATACCCTAAAACACCATAATGTGGTAGACATAGCTTGGATAGAGGATGTAGAGGAGGAGCCCCCAAATGGTGCCAACAGTTAAGCACTCAACTACTAGCCAATAGGTTGATGTTCGAACCCATCCAGAGACACCCGGCTTGACTTCCCAGCACTCACAGCCTTGGAAACGCTGTGGGGCTCTTGTGCTCTCTACACCTAGGGTCACCCAAGAGACGGAATCAATTCGCTGCCGACTGACAACAATGCCAGAGAAGAGGTGACACTTTAGATTTTGTGGAACAGAGACCAAGTCCAACTCCAAGACAAGTTTTAGATCTTCTACTTCTTCACAACAAAAATGGCTGCTGAACAATTGACCACAAAGCATGTCTGCATCACAACATAATGAACAGGAGGCCATTTCAAAAGTAAAAGGGACTTGAGACGTTCCTGTTCCTGACGTTGAGTCATGAAGGAGGCTTACTGATGGGCTATCTCCCAACAGTGAGCCTGCTCAATTGTCTGTCATTTTTATTAAGGCCCCTGGAGCCCTGGTGGTGCTGTAGAATAAGCACTGGACTGCTAACCACAAGTCCACAGATCAAACACCCCATTGGCTCCTGAGGAGAAAGATGAGGCTGTCTGTGCTATGAAGATTGAAAGTCTCAGAAACTCTACATAAAGTCATTATGAGTCAGAGTTGGCTCAATAGCAGTGGGCTTGGTCTGTAAGAGAGTCAGGGAATGGCCGTCTCCAGGAAGTTGACAGTAAACAAAAGAACCACCCACACTACCTGGCCAACCGTGGCTCATTTTTTAACGTAGAACAAAAGTGCTTGGTGTGGTCTGGCCCCTTTAGACTGAAGGGAAACTGAGGCTCCATGCCCCACAGCATGTCATTGCTACATGTCCATGTTTCTACCCTTGACAACCAGCCCACAGGCACCAGTACCCCAGGCAAACTCCTACCTCTGAGCCAGCTGCTTCCTAGGTAGGTTGACCAGGCCTTCCTGTCTGCTTCCATAGACACTACTGGGCTGGGCTTAAACCCATTCTGAAGAGCCTTCTAGGTGTTTCCTCTGCCTGGCACACCAGGCCTTCCCAGGATTGAGGGTACAGATGCGCCCGTTACTGGCCCCTCTGCCCCCAGCCTGTCCTAGGCCTCTAGCAGGTCTGTGTTTACTGAGGAAGGGGCAGCTCCAGACGTGGATTTTATTATGATCCTCACTTTGCAGATGACGAAATGGGTGTGAGGAGACCAAAGAAATGGTCCGTCATCCATGGCATGGAACAAAAGGTGTATGAATCGTTGATGAGAAAACCAATTTGCTTATAGAAGCCTGTACCCAATTCACAAAAAGTTTAAAAATAAAATGACAAGAATAAGATGGTTATAAAGAAAGGGCCCTCAGTTGTGGTGCAGCTTGGAGAGGCAGAGCCATAAGCCAGGATGTAACAAGATCAAAGGCAAGGTTGATGCCCGAACTTTGGATCTGTGGACCCCCCCAACCAGGGTCTTCCCATGCTGCCTTGTGTCCCTCCTACTGTTGTGCTTGGCACATGGTAAGATGTGCCCCTGGTCACCGTCCCCTCTGCTTGAAGGACTCCTCTTAGCTCTCCTTTACTTCCTGTGGGTCTCCACAAGTCTCTGAGAGGTGCCCCACAAAAAGTTGCTGGCTTCCCTGCCCTTACCAGGCTCTGGTGTTTACAAAGCAGGCAGCACCATCTGCCACATTATACATCTTGATTGGTTGATTGGTTGTTTGTCTGTCTTCCCATTATAATGAAAGCTCCAGTAAGGCAAGGACCTTCCTTCTGCCTTTGTGGGATTTCAGTTCCTAGGGCAGATCAACATTTGAACCAAGGGTGAAAGTGCTAACGCTTCCTGTAAAAATGGCTGTGCAGGGGCATCTTACCTCTGCATAGAATGTCACCAGGGGAAGGACAATCCAAAGCTAGTTCCTAGGAGTATGCCTCCACACTCTAACCTCTTTACTAATTTGGACCCAAGCTGTCCTTCACATGGCATTCTCTACTTCTCTGCTGGCTTCAAGAATCTGTTGCAGGTGTCACACAAAACTCACGGCACATTCACAGTTATGTGGCTAATTAGGGAAGTAACAGGTTACAATTCAGGAGCAGGGATGATTCCGTTTTTTGATCAGGACAGCTTCTTAGCCATTTCTGCAGGCAGACCTTTCTCTGGCTCTTGACTTGGCCTCTGCCATGCTAAGTCAAGTATTACCCAGGGGCACCCCACTCTGCCAGGAAGCCTCTTGCCTGAAGGTGCTCAGCTCTCTCACTCCATGGATTGGCATACCCAATCCAGGGACCAGGAAGCCCACTGTGCCACCTTATGCTGGTCTCCTGGTTCTGCTGCTGCCATTTCCCTGTTTTGCGCTGTCTCTTGTGTTCCAGTGCTCTGTTTCTGTCTCCAGGGTCGAGGAGGTCCTCAGCACAAGGGCCTTGGGTCCTAAGAATGTGCTCTATTCCTATTTCTTCTCCCTGTCCACCTCTGGGATGGCTCATTTTAAGCCTATCAGTTTACTAAAATTGACCAGTCCCCTAGTTGGGGTTCTGTATACCTTATTTGCATGGTCCCACACTCACAAAGGTGTTACACATTTTATTTGCATTATTGCCAAGGTATCCATTCCCCTTGGTGAGCTATAAGTACCTCATATGCCTAGCCCCACCCAGTCACTTGATATAAGTTATAAGACCATGATGAGAAGGCCCCAAGCCCCACTTATTTAGGCCACTTGCATCTCTTGCATCAAGGCCACTGTCCTATTAGAAAAGCACAGTAGGTGCTTTTGAGGGAATGCCTGGGGAGGCCTGAACTCTGGTGTGGCTTGGCCATTCCTCTATAGTCATTATTATTAGTTGTGTCTGAATCCTGAGTCCCCAACATGGTTCCCCTTCTCCTAGTGGGTAGGGACTCACCCCTATTTCAGATGCTTCTACTCAATAAGCCAAGTCAGATATGGGCCCTAAGATAGCTCAGTTGAGGTATGGAGACCAGGAG